CAACCAACATCACCAGCGGTGAATAAGACATCTTCTGGGTGGATATCAAATACATATTTAGTAGTTAAGGCAGCTCCTAACAAATAACCAGCAGTGGAGTGAACAACACCCTTTGGAGTACCAGTAGAACCTGAGGTGTATAACAAGAATAATGGATCTTCGGAGTTAACTGGAACTGGAGGTAAGTAGCCTGCGAACTTTTGGGTTTCTTCTGACCACCAGTAATCACGGCCTTCCTTCAAGGTAACTTCTTTATTACCGGTTCTTTCGTAAACAAGAACCTTTTCAATGGATGGACAGTTCAATAAAGCTTCGTCACACAATTTCTTGATGTTAATGGTCTTACCACCACGACGACCTTCGTCACAGGTGATCAAGGCCTTACAAGATGCATCGTTAACTCTGTCCTTAATAGAACCAGAAGAAAAACCAGCGAAAATAACAGAGTGGATAGCACCCAATCTAGCAACAGCCAACATAGCAATGATCGCTTGCGAGTTCATTGGCATATAAATGGCAACAGTGTCACCTTTCTTAATACCCCAGCTTTGTAACACACCTGCAACTTGGCAGACTTCTCTCAACAATTCGGCGAATGTCAAGATCTTGGAGTCCTTTTCTTCGTCTGCTTCGTAGATAATAGCTGGCTTGTTTGGAGTAGCGAATGCATGTCTATCAACACAGTTGTAACATGCGTTCAATTGACCTCCAATGAACCATGCTGCATCACCATGCAACAAAGATCCAGACTTGACTCTTTCGAAGTCTCTGTCCCAGTGCAACAATTCCTTACCAAACTCACCAAAAAAGGTTTCTGGGTCGTTAATTGACTTCTCGTATAACTCTTGGTATTGTTCTAACGAAGTAATGTGCCCTTGGCGTGGCTGTCTTTCAAAAAATTCTTTTGGAGTTTCATGTTTCTTGATGTTGTTGGCTTCGTGCACAACTTGATGTGTTGGGGAACTAGTCATGTCTAATAATTACTAATTCTAACCTGAATAAATATCACAATAAATAATGGAAAAAATCTAAGAAATCTAATATATAAATATTATTATAGTTGAAAAATTTCCAAATCTACCTGAAAAATTGTCTGTGGGGATACAATTCTTTATATACTAACGGTATTAATCAATTGATAAGTGCAAATACCTGTTTTTATCCAGTAATTGTGATTATATTATTGTCTATTATTATATAATCGTTTTATTCAGTTGAATAATATTTGCAAAAAAGAATCGGACTTAAAGATTTGACTGAAAATTATTGAACGTTTCATACAGAATGCGACGAGAATAATGCGATTTAAAGTTGTTGAGTGACGCAATTTTGTGTAACTCAAGGCCTTTTGATGGGTAGTTCATGCTTCTTTGCAATAATATAAGTCTAGTGACTGTATATGGTCCCGTGGATAATACGCCAATAAGGTTAGTAGCAATAGAAGTGTGACTCTAAACCGGAATCTGGGGATACGGACTTACGAATAGCATTGTTTGAAGCTGAAGCCTACGTCTGGGTGAGAGGATCAAATTCGAGATTGGAAATTCTTGGAACAGGTCGGAAAACTACGGTCAGACAATTGTAATAAGGTTAAGTTGAAGTAGATGGTTATTGGAATGTCAACGGGCTCGCAATGGATTTTGTACGACCCAACCAACAGGTGTTGAAAAATTCAACATTTGTTGGTGTGTATGCAGGGCAATCGGCTAGCCACTAAGAATCTATGGTTGAGTCACTGTGTCCATGGGGCATATATGGTAGTAGTCCATGGAGAGATCATGAGGGACGACCCGTGACAGCTTGCAAGTAACCAATGTAGAGGTTGCGACTAAATGAATAGATCTTTCCGAGCAGCAAGTCCGTAGTTGACTCACAATAACTAAAATAGGCTATTAGACGAAATATCCGGTGATCAAGATTGGTTAGCCGACCGATGAAAACATCGGAAATCGTAATAGTTACGGTGATTAGCCCCAGAAAACCTGGAACCGTAATTAGAGCACAACAGTAGTTTACTACATTCATTTGCAGCATTGGTCAAATATAATAGTATAATGGCTATTGTCATAGGTGAAGACATAGATTGGACTTTTAGTATGTAAATCGCTCCCTCGAATTTCTAAATGAAATCTCTGTTAATTTCAACTACAATAAACTTTTCAATCTAAATCTTATAATCATTAATAAATAAAAAATATACAATTATCTATTCTTTATCTAGCACAATTTAACCCAAAATATTCGCAAATATTTATTTTATCTTTTATCTTTTCTTTATTAAATTAATCAACTTCTTCGACAGTTGGACCGTCAGCAGAAGCATCTGGAGCAGCACCACCTGGAGCACCTGGGAAACCACCTGGAGCGGCACCTTCAGCACCACCTGGAGCAGCACCGGCTTGGTAAGCCTTAGCCATGATTGGGTTAGCCTTACCTTCTAATTCCTTTTGCTTGTCAGAGAATTCTTCTTGAGTGGCAGTTGTGTTGGAGTCTAACCATTCAATGGTTTCGTCAGCAGCCTTGGTGACTTCTTCGATTTCAGCAGCATCTAACTTTTCTTTGAATTGTTCTTCACCTAAGGTAGACTTTAAGGAGTAAGCGTAAGATTCTAAAGCGTTCTTGGCTTGGACTCTACCAGCTTCCTTTTCATCTTCATCCTTGAATTTTTCGGCTTCAGAAACCATTCTTTCGATATCTTCCTTAGATAATCTACCCTTGTCGTTAGTAATAGTAATCTTTTGAGTCTTACCGGTACCCTTTTCTAAGGCGGAGACGTTTAAGATACCATTAGCATCGACATCGAAGGTAACTTCAATTTGTGGAACACCTCTTGGTGCTGGAGGAATACCAGATAATTCGAACTTACCTAATAAGTTGTTATCTTGGGTCTTAGCTCTTTCACCTTCGAAAACTTGAATCAAGACACCTGGTTGGTTGTCAGCGTAAGTGGAGAAAGTTTCAGACTTCTTGGTTGGGATAGTAGAGTTTCTTGGAATCAACTTGGTCATGATACCACCAGCGGTTTCAATACCCATAGATAATGGAGCAACATCTAATAACAATAAATCTTGAGTCTTAGATGAAGTGTCACCAGATAAGATAGCAGCTTGGACAGCGGCACCGTAAGCAACGGCTTCATCTGGGTTGATAGATCTGTTTGGTTCCTTACCGTTGAAGAAGTCAGAGACTAATTTTTGGACCTTTGGAATTCTGGTAGAACCACCGACTAAGACGATTTCGTGAACTAAAGACTTGTCAACCTTAGCATCTCTTAAGACCTTTTCGACTGGGTCGATAGTAGATCTGAATAAGTCTTGACACAATTCTTCGAATCTAGCTCTGGTGATAGAAGTGTAGAAGTCAACACCTTCGTATAAGGAATCGATTTCAATGGAGGTTTGAGCGGAAGAAGATAAGGTTCTCTTAGCTCTTTCACAAGCAGTTCTTAATCTTCTTAAAGCTCTTTGGTTAGTAGACAAATCCTTCTTGTTCTTTCTCTTGAATTCGTTAACAAAGTGGTTAACTAATCTGTGATCGAAATCTTCACCACCCAAGTGAGTGTCACCAGCGGTAGACTTGACTTCGAAAATACCATCTTCAATAGATAATAAGGAGACATCGAAAGTACCACCACCTAAATCGAAAATTAAAACGTTCTTTTCTTCGGCATCCTTCTTGTCTAAACCGTAAGCGATAGCAGCGGCGGTTGGTTCGTTAATGATTCTCATAACGTTTAAACCTGCAATTAAACCGGCATCCTTGGTAGCTTGTCTTTGGGAATCATTGAAGTAAGCTGGGACGGTAACAACAGCGTCATTAACCTTGTCACCTAAGTAACCTTCAGCAGTTTCCTTCATCTTACCTAAGACCATAGAAGAAATTTCTTCTGGAGTGAAAACCTTGTTTTCACCCTTGTATTCGACTTCGATGTGTGGCTTACCAGACTTTTCAACGATCTTGAATGGGAAGTGCTTAGCATCTTCGGTAACTTCAGCATCTTCGAACTTTCTACCGATCAATCTCTTAGCATCGAAAACGGTGTTAGAAGGGTTCATAGCAGCTTGATTCTTAGCAGCATCACCAATTAATCTTTCAGAATCAGTGAATGCAACGAAAGATGGAGTGGTTCTGTTACCTTGGTCGTTAGCGATAATTTCGACTCTATCGTTAGCGAAGTGAGCGACACAAGAATAGGTTGTACCTAAATCAATACCAACAGCTTTTGACATATTTGTATATTATAAATGAAAATTAATTAATGTATTAGAAATATAATAACCAATTATCTATATCTAGAAGAAGAAAAACTTTCAATTAATTAAGGATTTTGGTCGACCTTTATACTTGGAATAATAAGTTTTTTTTGATCGTCCATGCACAATCCCGTTTCCATATAATTCTACAATATTCTATACTGGATTGAGAATAATTACTGAAAAATCGCACTTTTTTTGTTGCCGAAAGCCATTTTGACGCTCATGGAAGCCTGCGGAATCGAATGGAATCTTTTGGAACCACCAAAGTGTTGCGAAAAAAGTTGCATTATGATATCATCGATGAGATTTTATCTTCTATACACCAGGTACATTTATACACCAATAAGGTTTTTATCGCACCAGGCGATGCATGGAACTTAGCGCATGGAAAAACTTTATGACGTAGAGCACAAATTAGTGACTACAGAATCTTAATATGTATGGGTACTTTATACACTTATAAATAGAATCTACAATTATAATGACTCAGTAATTCAGTAACGGGAATGCTAAGCTAGTGACTCTGATCGTGTTTTGGGTGCGGTTACAGTACTTGTGGGCATCACAGACCCTGGCGGGACAGTTTTACTGAACATCCGGTGGTGGAAGATACGGGAATGCGCAGATGTAAGTAATGATACAAAGAAAAATGTATTAAAATAAACATAGTAATAACAATATTATAGAAAAAAATAAATTAACAGAGAGTAGGAGAATAGAAGTGGGACACGGGGGTTGAGGAGGTTAGTTCAGTTTTTCCTTGGTGTAGTCGTTGACAAGGTAGATTCCACCGGCACTTCTGATGACGCCCTTAGCTTTGATCCATACGTCCTTGACAGCAGGGTTGTTAATTTTGTTGACGGCTTCATCCAATTGGAGTTCCATAGACTTGAAGTAGTTTCTGGTAAAAATGGACTTTTCGTATCTCATTTTGAGGAAAACGGCGTAGAAGACCCATGGAATGAGAGATCTTTTTCTGAATAAAATAACTCTGACGGTCAACCACAAGAAGCTGTAGATTTCTAATAAACTGGCAACTTGGATAGACTTGGTGTTATTTTTGCTGATAAAATTTTCAATTTGCTTGGAGATTCCACTGTCAGCCATACCGAAAATAGGCAAGAGGTATCCTTTGGTGTATGCTAAGACATGGAACAAGGAAAATAATGCGAATGGTAATAATGGAATAAGCACGTATGGTCTGATTAAAAGCAAAACACTTCCTAATAAGAAATACTGAGTGTTGTCGTCTTTTAAGATTTGGTTAACCTTAAGAGCCTTCTTGGTGATTAATTGGTACAACAATATACCGAAACTCTCGATAATACCAAATAAGGCCAACTGGTACCAAAACCTATGGAAACGGCTTCCACTTCTGATGAAAGTCAAGGTGAAGAGGAAAATTCCCCATAAAGTCAAAACATGGCCAACAAACCACGCAAACTGTAAAGTCTAGAAATATTTAGTTAGTAACTCATCTTACATGTAGACACAAGGTGATCGATTGTACATACTTGGATAGTTTCAACCAATTGGTTGGTGTTGACCCCTTTGCTCTTTGCGGCCCCTGCAGTAGTTGAGGCACTAGTAGCTGGCTTGCTGGTAGCAGCATTCGGAGCAGATTTAGCTTGATTAGACATTTAAATATCAATTAAATACGTTAACAGTTCGAACAAGATTTAATTGATAAATTGGGTATCAGTTCTTTCGATTACTTAAATTATTTATACAAATTTCAGGGCTAACGTAATTTGGATTGTCATATTCATTCTGAAAAATTGCTATAATGTCGGTCACGAGATTTTAAAAAACTTCCTACTTATTCAGGCCGAGTACAATAGTCAAACGGAAAGAATTCCAGATGGTCATAATTATTCGCACCTGAACAATAGGACGGAAATTTAGTACACCACGCTACATGACTTGTTCTTAGTAGTTCTATCAGAGTTTTGACATAAACACATGGACGTAGGATGCGCCCAAACGACAATATTTGGATCTACAGTTATCTCGCATTACCTATATTTAAAACATATATAAAAGCCAATAAAATGATAAATAAAGATTCTCCCTAAAAGATAAAAACAAATTCATTAGTTTCATCTAACGTAAGAAACCCTTACGACTCTTTGTTGGTGCCGGTGCTGGTTGTGCTGGCTCTTGGGGTAATGATTTTTGCTTCTCTAATTGTTCTTTCTTATCTTCTAATAATTTTATTTGTTTAGATAATTTGTCTTTCATTTCTTTGTGTCTAGCAAACAAATCAGCTTCTGATCTTTGTAATTTTTTCTCTTTTTCTGAAACCTTTTGTTGGAAAACATTCTTCATTTCTGCTTCCATCTTAGCCAATTTAGCTTCGTGGAGGCTCTTTTCTTCCTCTTGTCTTGCCAATGGATCGAACTCCTTAAAGACCGAATTATCTTGTTGGATTCCCATTCTCAATAATTTTTCTGATCTGTAATTTTCATATAATGTATTGGCGGTATGTTCTTTTAATTCTTCTAAGAAGTTTCTTATCAATAATTGACGTAATTTTATAAAGTCACAGTGTTCCTCATTGTCAACTTCGATTATACCCCACGGATAGCTCCTACCTCTAACAATCCTGCCATCAACAGTTTCGACTTCTTTAGTAGATCCAACCACAGCAAATGGTAATTTGTTCATGATGCTCTGAGTATTAGCAAAAGATTCTTCATCATCATTGTCATATTCAATAGGGTTGAAGGTCTTAATTCCTTGATACCTAATATCTTCTAAGATTCTTTGCTTGAAATCGATAATTTCTTCTTCGGTCAACGTATCTGACTTGGCAATAACTGGAATCAAGTTGACCTTCTCGTGAATCTCTTTCATAAGAGCAATATCCAAAGATCTCAAAGAATGACCAGTTGGTTCAATAAAATAAAGGAATGCGTGGACCCTATTGTCAACAATGGCAGATCTATTTATTCTACTTTCTGCTTCTAAGTGGGCATCAAATCTGTCATTAATTTCGTCAACAATTGGCTTCCAAGAGTCAGCATTATTAATTGATTCACCAAATCCTGGTGTAGATATAACACTCAAATTCAATTTAACACCATCTTCTTCAATTTCAGCCTTGTCGGTTCTGGTTCTGACAGAATGGGTCTCTCCGTCATCGAATTCTGCTGATTCCTCGTTAATGTCATTAGATAAAATTTCCCTGTTGAATAACGTGTTAATCAAAGTCTTTTTACCCAATCCACTTTCTCCGGCAACCATTATATTCAATGTAAAACCTCTTCTGACCGATTTCCTGTGCCATTGCTTTGGTAAGTTTGCAAACCCAACATATCCATTCAACTTACGCTTAATAATCTTAAGCTCTTGTTGAATATCCTCTATTGGATTTTGTCTAGCTGTAGTTTCATAAGCAGCTGATGCTTGATTCTCGACTTGAGGAATAGATTCTACTTCGGCTATATTATGTTAGTATTAGGCGCCTAATCGTTCGTTAATTTCAGTTTATCAGAAGTAAACATACCACTCATAATGAATTAATCTCAATAATTATGAATACAAAAATCCTTTCGTTATTTATTGAATTTTACAATAATCAATCCTAATAAGATAATTTGTACTTAATCGTAAGTATAATTTAAATTAATTGTTTGTTGTCTTCCCAATAATTGATTCGAGATCGTTCAAGCTTTTTGGCTTTGAAAAAAAAAAACACAAATACGTGTCACTCACATGTTCAAATGGGTGTAAAATTTACTACGTTCAGTACAATCACATTCGGTATAGTCTTATTATCGAATAGTTGTGTGAAGAATGAATATACCGTCTCTACTCGTAGTTATATATCGTTCTTACCTTTTAGTATTTATCTAGTATTGTAAGGATATGAATTAGATCATTTATGTTGACCAAAATTTCACATACTGAGGTGAAGCAATTTTTCACTTTCAATCCATGTAAGCATTTATAAAGGTATATATCATTAAATTCGTAATTTTTATACATTGCTTACCAAAATATATACTTGGTAACCGGTAGGTTTGCAAGAAATAATTATAATTAGAAGGAGATTCTTTTTACCACCTACGAATCTTTCTGTTTAATATGGACTGAGAGAACCAAGATCGAGGACGGAAAAAAGATAGAAAATAGGTGAAATTAATTCATCTATTTCCTGGAGTATGTTACATTGACTGCTGGGCTCTTGAGTTTACTTGATAAAACGTAAATCCGAGTGGATCATATGTCCTCCGCTAAATATCTCTATGGTATTCTTGATAAAGAAATGATCAGTATTAAGCTTTTAAAACTACCAACAGCACTCTCTGCTATATTAGCCAAGAATAAGCATACCGTTTAATTAATTTAAAAATGTTAACTTATTTTTGTAGCTAGATCCACACAAAAGTTTTGTTGCATAATTTACCATTTACAGAAACTTTGAAATTTTGACAGAAATATGGAAATTGATTATAAAAAGTCAGAAAAAAATCATGTATTCACAAATAAGGCTAGACTAATAACACCAAGGTATTATTAATATAGAATGTAAGCTTAATTTATGGAAAAGCTGTTTTTGGCATGAAAAAATGAAAAAAAGTAGTTTGTCCCGTAGGCTGCAAAGAGCGCTCACTTAGAAAAGGCTCTGATACCTGATTGATATTGGAAGTCCCTAAGTTTTATTTTACTGGGTTTATCTTTCTGGCACCTTCCTATTATAAAAAAGGAAAATATACCGTATCGGAGAAGGAGATGTGTGATGTATATTTGTCTTGAAAAAGGTTATCATGACGTGGTGGCTAATTCGTAGTCCCTCAAAGCCATCTACGAAAAAATAAGAAAGCCAGGAGTCATATCCACCCAACAACCAAATACAAAAATACGAAACATAGGCGTCATACCATTCAACCAAGTAACAAATGCTACAAGCACCGACGAAGGTAGTGTAACATTGTCTTTGATTTAGGCAGATTAAAACTTCGATCTACTAATCATTGACCCCAATGGTCTACATTTCTTCGGATACAGGGTATAGGGAAACTACATAAAGTACCATTATTACCATTATTGCCATTATCAGGGATCTCATACTTATGCATTACTTCTGAATTGCACCAACTAATTCCAGTAATAGGATCGACTAAATGTTTGAACATCGTGCACCCTAATACATACATCTATAAATCTAATACCATAACTTCATGTTTACTGCTTTTCCAATTGTTCATATAAGAACTCCAACCCCATTTTGGCAAATGCTGCCATGTTCTCCGATCTATTCCCACTATCGGTATGTCTTTCACACGACACCTCTCCACCAGGCCCACTGAGTCCTAAATACACAGTCCCAACCTTATCCACATCGCTGGCCAAATTCAGCATATGCAAGTTGGTTGTAGGTCCCGCAAACCCAGTTTCCGATAACACGAACGTCGACCCAAGCTCGTATTTAGTGGTCCGAGCCAATTTTAATGCTACCTGCTCCGATGGTCCCATATAATGACTGATTTCTTCTTCTGACCATCCGGAGAGCTTCAATCTCTGTTTCAACGCATACACCAACTTACCTCCAATATAGAAATTGGATGCACCGGGAACTGATATTATGTACGCAGACAATAATCCCCCGCAAGCAGCTTCTGATATAGCTAACGTCTGATTTCTCGATCTTAAAAGCTCAGCTATTTTACCAACCAATTCTTCAATTTCTGCCGGTGGAAATCCCATATTGCTGTTTACGTATCTGTAATTTCGTTGGTAATATGACAATTCGTATAATTAAAGGTATCAATAGTTTATCAAAAGCGAGTCGTGTACGCGCACTTTGGCTTTTGAGTGGCAATATTTATGATCCCAATAGTTCAATAGATCTGTTCTTTCTATTCATTGTAGACTAATAGAGCATCCATTGAGAATTACAGATATAACACATTGAATATGGCTTCTAAAACAATAAAATTCAATGCCGGTAAAGTGGAATATGACGAAGAAACCAAGCGTTGCACACCATTACCACATAAGGGAGTCATCTCACTCAAGCCAAACGCAGATGATGAAGATTTCTTTGACTTTACGTGGTCGCCAAAGTCAAACGGGTCAGGAAACATCGAGAAAGATGAATTGTTAGTCATACCAGGAGATGTCAGTTTTAAACAGGTGACATCGTGTAAAACAGGACGAGTAGTTGCATTGACATTTTTGAGTTCTGGAGGAAAGAATTTGTATTGGTTACAAGACGTCGGGGACGACGAGGAATTAAGCAAATTGACCACCAAGGACAAGAGCATATTAGATAAGGTGAACGAATTGATTTCTCCAAGTGGTGAAGAAGATGAACAGGAAGCTAAAGAAGAAACCGAAGAGTAAGTACGTTCTTTCTATTTAAGTTATACAAGCACAATATAATGTAAATAAAGACAAACATAATAAAAAAAGAGTATCCTTAGGACCATGTCTATTAACGCAACTAGAACCAAATCAGAGGCCGTAATGCCTGAGAGCACCGCTTCTTCGGCAGCCGCCAAAGAAGCAAACACTGCCAATCAAGAAGGCATCAAGTTGCCCATTGCATCCATTTCAGATGTGTTAACGTTGGAATTGATCGAAAAACACCTTGACACCTTGTCTCCAGACCAGTCATCTCAATTATATGCGAGTCACTTACCTGAATCTACGAGTCCCACAAAACACGAAATCTTGGATGTGGTAAGAAGCGGGTTTTTCCAGCAATCTACGAACAAATTAAGCGAGCTGTTGAGAGAAGGAAGTGGTGCTGGATACCTCTTAGCCCAGAGTTTGAAATATGATTATCAAGGGGAGGGTATTGAATCTTTCTTGAACGGTGTGAGAGATTTGGGCAAAAAGGAAGAAAAAGAAAAAGAGGAACATCCTAGCGTCGATTATAATAAGGAAGATGAAACGAATCAATAGATTATTCCATACGATTACCTTTTATATAGTGTTATATTCGTTTAGTATAGATTTGTAAAAGAGCAAAATATTTTGTCACATGATTTTTTGTAAAATCTAGTGTGGGCATATGAACAATGTCAACTGGAATGAGTAAGTGTCTAGTATTAGATAAGACAAAATTTGTTAAGAGATACTATATAAAACAGGTTTAGGGTAATACAATTGTCAAGTCGTATCAAAACTATAGTAGATATTTGAAAAAAAAAAGACGAAGCTAGTATATTAGTTCGTTGACAAATACATCGAATCTTCCACCAAATGGTACATATTATTGCAAGTGTTAATTAAGATCAGAATTTTCATTAATATACATATTAAACTAGGAACATAAATTATTGAAATGTCGTCGACACACGCTAATGGGAATAATGATCGTATACCCAATAGTGCTGGAAATTCGGTCATTTTCAATAAGCTTGCTCCGGCGACAACGGGTGTTTCTACATCGGAAGCACTAAGTCCTACGATATCGGCGTCCAGAGATGGGGAACATCTAAATGATGCAAATGGGGTGGATGATAAGGACTTGAGACATAACTTGTTTGGTAAAGTTACGGGAATGCTAAACCGATCTTTAAGTGAATCCAGAAAGAATTCGATGACGTCGCTCGGTAAGGATCCGCTCGATACTTCGTGTAGGAGTCGAGCAGGAAGCCGGGCAGGAAGTCGAACGGTAAGTAGAACAGGAAGTAGAGCAGGAAGCAGATCAGAAAGTAGGGGTGACATAATGAAAGAAACTACAACAAATACTCATCTCTCCGTGGAAACGGCAATGAAATCGGTGAAGGAGACAAATAACGTTTTTCTAGAATACGATCCGCTAACCAAACGTAAGGTGCTCAATACCTATGAAATATTGCGAGAAATTGGTAGGGGAGAACATGGGAAAGTCAAACTAGCCAGGGACTTAGTTCATAATGAACTAGTTGCGATTAAGATTGTTAATAGGAAATCCAAGAGAGAGAGACCAACTTTAAGAATGAGACGTGGTTCTAAAGTAAAAAACGACGCTCTTAATGATTATGACATCAAAATAAAACGAGAAATTGCTATTATGAAAATATGCAGCCATAAGCATATTGTTAAGTTAAAAGAGCTTTTAGATGACTTAAATTCTCATAAGATTTACATGGTCTTAGAATATCTTGAAAAAGGAGAAATTAAGTGGAAACGTCAAAAGACAAATAATGTAGATTCATCTCAGGATGTTGACAACCCTGACGATATACCTTGTCGTAGTGGCTTTAGAAAAAAAAGCATAGCATATACACAGGCAGACGAAGACGAAGACTTGTTGTCGAACGAATTTTCTCCTTATTTAACATTCAAGCAATCAAGAAAAATTTTTCGTGACGTTCTATTGGGTATGGAGTACCTACACATGCAAGGAATAGTTCATAGAGATATTAAGCCTGCAAATCTATTAGTTAGTTCCGATAATGTTATTAAAATTAGTGATTTCGGTGTTTCATTTGTGTCATCGTTGGATAAGAATGAGGATCCTGATTTAGTTAATGAAGTTGAATTAGCAAAGACGGCTGGCACGCCTGCATTTTTCGCCCCCGAATTGTGTGAAACTAATTTCTCATCTTCTACGAGTTCTAAATCAGTGTCAGCATCATCCTTAGAAATTTTGAAAAATGATCATTTAAAAATTACTAAATTACTCCCAAAGATAGACTATAAGATTGATATTTGGGCTCTTGGTGTTACATTATATTGTTTGTTGTTCGGTAAAGTTCCATTCAATGCTGAATCTGAGTTTGAATTATTCCTGGTAATTGTTAACCAACAATTGGAGTTTCCATCTGATAGAAATGCTTTTAATTCGCCTTCCGAGGTTAATGAAACTGAGTTTGATTTGGCAAAGGATTTATTATCAAAGTTATTGGATAAAAATAAAGAAACACGTATTGAGATAAAGGATATCAAGAATCACCCGTTTGTACTTTTGGATTTAGAAGACGACTTGGATGCCTTGAATGAATTGCTTTATCTAAATGACAAAAATGCAACTTTTTTTAAGACATATGGGAATGATGAAGAGGTCCTGAAGGAAGACATGGATAATGCAATTGTGGGGGTTGGTAACAAAATCAGAAGTAGCTTGTTGAAATCGATTAAAGCTGGTGGGAAAGATTTCGATTCTCGCAGAGGGATTGTTCACCACTTGGAACCGAACACAAGCGTATCGTCTTCTGAAGATTCTTCATATGGTAACTCTCGTTATAATTCGACCTCCGGATTAAATGAGAGTCTGGGTAATTCTGTAATATTATCTGAAGCTTCACAATTAACTACACCTCCAAGTTTTCAAAATTTTTACAAAGTAAGGTCTGGGAGTCATCAGCCTGATTCATCAGTTAATTTTCAAACGAATGCTCCTCATATACCGTCGAATTTGTCCACACAACAAAATGCTATACCTAATTTCTCATCACATTCTATTGCAACTACAAGAGAAAGTAGAACACCAAATATACTCTTACAGGATGTAATTGATTCACATTCAAACAGTTCTAGTAGGCGTGGTAGTTCAGCAGGATCAGAAGCTGTTCAAGTTGAAACCAAGCGCAATGTCGGAGGTGATTTATATTTGAAAAACCAATCACTTGTGGATACGTTTAAGGTAATTAAGCAACAAGATGATAAGAGGCGTAGATCGAGTGCAGTTTCCTCATCCATACATGCATCAAATGCTAATACTCCAAAAACTTCAATTTCATCTCATTTGGGACCAGATGAGTCGTCCATATCATTATCGGGAGGCAATCCAGTACAGGTAGCGCAACATTCAAATAACCAATTAAGAATCGGTCCAATAAATATTAATAATGAAAGAAGGCCTTCTTCAGTTATTTCCTTGCCATTGAATGAAAGTTTTGCTTCACTTGATAGCTTCAGTGACGACTACTTGAAGTACAAGTATCAAGAATATCATAGTAACAACCCAAATAGTAAATACCTTTCACTAAGACGTGATAGTGATGTAACACAATCGGATCCGAATATCAACCATACAGCTAATTTGACATCGAATTTTGATACAATAAATGAGAAATTTAAAAACTTTAATCTAAATGCTCAGATGAAAAATGATGGTATCACATTTAATTTAAATTCAGACAAGTTCAATGATCATGAAGGAATCGCACCAAAAACAATAATACAAGGTCTGAGTGATTCTTCATCTTCTCAATCCTGCTCGTCGTCATCACCATCAATTTCAGGTAGTGAAAGTGACGAAGAAGGAAATTTAACTTTGGCATTTTCGTCAAAGCTTTCACCTCCATCAAAGCCTAAATTTTTATCCTTAGGTAACCGAGCTAAGTCTCATGATTCTCATTTACCTGGAATTGTACCACGTCCTTCTATACAACGTCATGATACTCCTGTTATATTTCAAGACGACATACCTGAATTTGAAGATATTCCGGAGGGACTAATGTCAAGCGTACCACGTCCAAGTGTATCAGCGGGTGCGATGATGAATCCAACAGTTTCGGTTGTGTCGAGTAATGGCTCAAGCACAACATTGACGGCGGAGACATTAGGTAACCGTTCAAATACAGAAGTTCACAACAAGAGACTGAACATGAATGAATCGAGAAACGACAATCCCATTTTATCTCCAAAACAAAAGGATAATGATAGAGTACCATCACCTTTAATTAACAATGCACCAACATCACCTAAGGCTACGACCAACTCCCATTTAGTCAAGCAATTATTTAAGAACCACAAGGATAACTATTATAGTAATTATCACAATAATAATAGTCAAGCGAATGATCAGTTTAATAACCATTATAAGAAGGATCCGATTTATTATCCTTTCCCGAATGCCTTACATTATGATAACGATAAGGAGAGTGAAACAAAGTCTGGTTCAAACCTAGGTGCTACACGTAGACCAAGTTATTATAGGTCTAATTCGGTTACAGTTGGGTTATTACAGCATGACAGAGAAAAGAGTAAGGATTCCTAAGATTTTCACGTTAAGACTCGTATCGATATATATCTGAACCTACTAGCTTTTCTGTAAATATATATATTATCAATTGTATAAAATTGTATATGTACCATGAATCATAAATTACCAAAAGAAAAATAAAGTTACCCAAGAAATAAAATTAGCCCATACTGAAAACCTTCGAGATCCAGAAACCCGATAAACAAAATAAAATAAAATAAAATAAAATAAAATAAAATAAAATAAAGAATAAAAGAAAATCCGTAACAACAAATTGTTACAAATTTGTAAAATAAATAGATTCATGTTAAACATAACACTATGACAGAAAATTAGATCACCTCAAGCTTTCGTTTCAAAACTGATAATCTATTACCAATACTAACAATAAACTTCTCAACCATTGCTTTATCTTCATCATCAAGTCTATCTTCATCATTAGATGAATCTTCATCTAGTAAAGCTTCTAACATCCATATTGCTGTACTATACGCCAATTCACAGCCCTTTAAGTCCTCTTTGACTAATTCATTGACTGCTGCATTTCTGGACATTTCCAAAGCTCTATCAAAAATCAACTTTTCTGCAACTACTCTGGTCTTTTCAGCAACCGACTTGGAATTCTCCATATACTCAGAGTTTTCTTCATTAGATAACAATGTGTTAGCTTCTTGTAATGTCAATCTAATAAATTCAGCCTTCTCTAAGCACTCATTGAATTTTTCTCTCATCCATTGCACCAACTCGTTGATTCTAACAGCCAACAGCAAACCATTGCTATTACTACTTGAACTTGGTTTTAAGGGATTTTCATTTGAATTTTTATTACTAGGATCATCAATTTCAAACTGACTGTACCACCAATCGCTTGCGATAACCATACCTTTAGCTAATAACGACAAAGTCTTAACATAAAGTACGACACCTTCTTCACTGATTGATTTAACGATTTTAGGAGGAAGCATATCATTCTGATGCAATAAATCATCATCTAATGCATCTGATGAAGGTGGAGATGGAATCAATTGACTGAATTTAACATCCGCAAATAAGTTTATTGCGTGTGCTTTCGTTGCTAAAGATTCAAGCCTTTTTAAAACCGACTCGTCAGTCTTAGATTGCAGCGATGGTTGAGGTGAGGTGTTAGTTTGTAAGTTATTATTAGCTACGGTGGTCGAAGTTGGTAAATTCAACTTTTGAACTAATAAATTGTTTGCAAAATTCGGATTTGAAAGAATGGTGGAAAAGGTATTATTCGTAGCATTCATACTATTATTTTCATTGATTGCTAACTTTTCATCTGTTTCTTCAATTAATTGATTAGTGGGCAAATTACTTGCATTTACTCCAAATAATCTATTTGAAGCTAATCCTATTGCCTTTGTTAAGGCATTTGTAGGGGAAATTGAAATTGAAATTCTTCGATCAGTAAAACTTGGTCTCCTTTGACTACCCGAAGAATTTGATCTAAGAGATGGCCTTCTATAAAGCTGCATATTGTTAGGACTGTTGTAACTATTATCCGACCCAGAAGATGTGCGACGTGGATTAATTGCCACTGCACCACTGCCAGCATGTGCTAGTTCGTCAGCGATTGCATTAACTTCAACAGCTCTTTTCTCAACCACAACGTAATCACGCTCTAAGATAATATCATTATCTTTATTCTTCAATATTAATGATTTCTCTTTTAGGTTATGCGGTTGAATGGAACGGGAAGTTTCAGGGCCAGGACTATTTTTATTTATTATTTCCTTGATTTCTTCATCTCGACTCGAAGGCCTAGTATCAACAGCTTTCGTTTGCGACTCGCTAACAGGACTCGATATCTCTGTTGCCGGTAAAGTTTGTTTAGACTTTTCCTTTACAGCACTTTCTGTAGTAATTGGCTCAATGTATTGAGATTTTTGTGACGGCTTGATTGGAGAAATGTATTCGCTAATAAACAAGTTTTCATCCATCTCTGATGTCTCTAGCGGTTCATCGTTACCCTCTAAATCATTGACAATCAACGGATCGTTGAAAAATTCGTTGAACGAAACTCTTTCAGTTGGATTGTACTTTAGTAAGGACCTAATCAACCTTTTCAAAGATTCAGGCACTTGGGCTGCAGATGGAAATTTTATACGATCGTTAGACTTTTCAATATTCTTTAATAACTGAACATGGTTATCAGCTCTAAATGGTGGCTTACCTACAGTCATTTCATATAGGACTGCTCCAACAGACCACAAGTCAGCTTTTGCGTTATACTTCTCATACCGCAAAATCTCGGGGGCCATGTAAAGTGGAGATCCACACAAGGTCTCTGCCATGGACGTTGACGGCAAAAACCTAGCAAATCCAAAATCAGCAATCTTCAAGAGAGGTAATTCCCACAATCCAACAAACCCACCATCTTTGAACTCTTGCTTTGAATGCAAGGGTGGACAAAGCAACAAGTTTTGGGGCTTGATATCACGATGCACCAAACTTTTATTCCTTAAAAATTCCAAAGCGGAAACTAACTGCTTGAGGAAATGAATCACCAACACCTCATTTAACCCATGTGATCCTTCGGGCGACGGATACCGCTCTAACAATGATGATATCACCGGATGTGTTTTGATAAGCTGGTTTCTCTTACGTATAAAGTATGACAAATCTCCCATAGAGCAGTAGTCCATCACAAGATGAAAGTGTGACGTAGTCTGCTTGTAGTCTAGTAACCCTACAATGTGTGGGTGCTTCATTGTCTTCAAAATGGATATTTCGATCTCAAGGTTCTCCACTAATTTCTTGGATTTCAACTTTGATCTCACTACCGACTTGATGGCCACTGACTCATTTGTCTTGGTGTTAATACACTTGTAAACTGTGGCAAACGACCCCTTCCCTATCTCGGGTCCGATGCTATACACTCCTATAGTCTTAACTGGCCGCCCACCGTCCTTGTTTGCCTCTATGCTAGTTGTTGACATTACTATGACTGAGTTTTTTTTTTTTTTTTGATTATCAACCAAATAAATCCTCTTCCTTATGTTATCCAAAGGAGGGGTGATACTGTGTATAAAGACGTGTAATAGATAAGGGTATGACTGATAATCGAACCTTTAAATCTGCCTACCTGTGTCCAAATACGTTGTAATATTAGTCGGCTTGTATCCAACAGTGCCACCTATACTATATAGCCTGTTGTATTTGCCCCTATCTGACTCCTGTCAAATTCTGCTACTTTTGCGAAGCTAGAACCACTGGTTGTCAAGTATGATTAGCTGTTATTCGTATTCTGATAGCGACTCAAGCTTGTTGATCACTACACGAACTGACTAAAATAATAAAAACACTATCGAATGTTTCTATCTATATGTATTCGATATGTTAAGATGAATATATTAATACTGTGTTTTAAAGGATATGATAAGATAACGCCACAACCTAACTATGGGGTCTAGCGAGCATGAGTAATCGCTAGTCACGATACAAAAATGATGTATGGATTTAAATATATACATCCATACATACGTAAAATGCGAAATTCCACTTTCCAACCTTAAAGAGATTTGATTGCGATCCTATCATAAATAGGGCGGCTATCAGCGAAGTAGAAGAAAGTGTATCAAGAACAAACAATAAGCTAAAATAAGGTATCTAAATTCAATTGTTAATATAGAATCGCAAATATCATATATAACTTCTGATAATAAAAAACGATACAGAAACACTTAACAAATGTTTGAATCTCTTGTTGCTAACCTTCTTAATAGGTTTTTGGGATCGTTTATTGAAAACTTCGATCCCAAGCAGTTGAATATTGGGATTTGGAGTGGAGATGTGAAGTTGAAGAATTTGCGGTTGAAAAAAGAGTCTCTCGACAAGTTTAAGCTTCCGGTGGATGTTAAGTTTGGACACTTGGGGGAATTAACGATTCTGATACCATGGTCGAATTTGAAGTCCAAACCGGTGAAAATTACGATAGAAGATGTCTATGTGTTGGCATCACCCATAGTTGTCCAAGACTTTGATCTAGCGGAGGAGGAGAGAAGGGAATTGCAAGTGAAGAAGGAGAAGCTAGAAGGGTTAAAGGCCATCGAGGCAGCAGCAGCACAGAATCGGGATATATCGTCGGACTTGAGTAACAATGAATCGTTTACTGAAAGTTTGGTGACCAAAATAGTAGATAATTTACAGGTAACGATCAAGAATATTCACGTTAGATATGAAGACGATTCAGTGTTGACAGAAAACCCATACTCTGTTGGTTTTAGGTTGACTGAATTGTCGGCTGTCTCGTCGAACGAATCGTGGGTCGCAAGCTTCATTTCAATCACTCAAGCATTCACACACAAGTTGTTGACATTAAAGAATTTGAGTTGTTACATGAATACAGATTCCGCTACCATTTTCACCGAAGATTCTGAGGAACTATTGAAAATTTTCAAGGAATCAGTTTCAAGTGAGACATTTATAAATGATATTCAGTACTTGCTTAAACCTATTTCAGGTGAAGGGAGATTGACAGTACATAAAAGAGGAGCGACAGAAACGTCTCCTCACATTAAAGCTGAGTTATTTTTCGATGAATTTGGAATTGATTTAGATTCCCAACAATATAGGGATATCCTATGGACCGCGTCTAAATTCCATTGGTACATTAAAACCCAGAAATTTAGAAAATTTAGGCCAAAGATAGCTGTAGAGAAAGACCCTAAGGAATGGTTTAGATACGCAGCTAAATCTATATTGAATGAAATTCATGAAAAGAACTATAAATGGAGTTGGGAGTATTTCGCAACCAGAAGGGATCAGAGAAAAGCTTATATAAATCTTTGGAAAATGAAGCAATTGAGTAAGACATTGACCTCTGAACAAGAAAAAGAATTCGAAGATTTGGAGATAAAACTACCATTTGAAGATATCAAATTCTATAGGTCATTAGCTAAGACTGAAATCCGCAAGGAGAATAAGAAGGTTCTCACATCTAGCTCTTCAATTTCTCAAAAGAAAAATGAACAAAGTGGTGGCTGGCTTTCATCTTGGTGGGGTGGCTCTAAGCCGGTTGAAGATAGTACCCCAGAGACAGATTCAAACGCGGACTTACAATTAAGCGAAGATCAACGAAAAGCGTTATATGAAGCCATAGAATATGACGAGAATCAAGCATTAGTGGATTCAATTGATATGCCTAGAGATAGAGTCAAAGTTGAGCTCTTAACGTCGTTAAAGAAAGGTGGTATTTCCATAAGACAGAAGAAACATGAGCCTAATCTAGCGGAGGTTATTTTCGAAGGATTTGCAACTCAAATATATCAAAGACAGGATTCTTTTTTGGTTAATTTGCAGTTGCAGGAATTTAGAGTTGAAGATGGTACGAAGACCACGTTATATAAACACATTGTTAGTGTGAAGCAAGAACATTCTCATTTGCATAATGAGGACCTGGAAACAGATGTGTCATCGACGGCGTTAACTACTAGCGATCCATTTTTTAAGGTTTCTTTTGAGCATAATCCGCTAGATGAAAGTGCCGACTCCATGCTATTAGGTAAATTAAAATCTATGACAATTTTCTATAATCCACACTTCATAGAGGAGATTATTAAATTCTTTACGCCTCCAAAGGTTCATCTTGATACTATTGGTGCTGTTATGATTGCAGCGGAAGCAACAATGGAGGGATTAACTTCACAAACACGTATAGGGCTTCAATATGCGTTAGAAGAACATAAGACTATTAATGTAAAGTTAGATTTACAAGCACCTCTAATTATATTACCATTAGATCCTACAAGTTGGAAGTCTCCTGTGGCAATCTTAGATGCGGGTCATATCAGTGTTGTAAGTAATTTAGTTGAAAAATCTAAGATCGAAGAAATAAAATCCAAAGAAAGATATACATCTGATGATTGGGATCAATTGAAGAACTTGATGTATGACCAGTTTAACCTTCATTTACAAGATGCACAATTCTTGGTTGGTCCTAATATTAAGTCGACGATGGAACAGTTACATACTGACGATAAAAATAAGTCAGCTTTGATTTTAGATAAATTGAATCTTAAATTATTATTGGGAATATCAATTCTTCCCGATGCATACAATTTGGCTAAAATTAAAGTAGGCGGGGAAGTAACGAAGTTTGATGTCGCAATAAATGATTTTCAGTATAAGACAATAATGAAAATTATCGATAAAGCTATACCAAATCTTGATACGACTGATTTTGACGATTCAAGCATATTCAATGCGTACGGCAATAACAAAGAAACAGGGATAGAAATAGATGATACGGAAACGTCTTCAATTATATCGAGTAAAGCTACGAAAGATCTGAAGACAGAGTCTATTCAAGAAAAACTATTTGAATTTGATTTTAAGGTTGATGTCGTTCACATTTCGTTATCTAGATGTATCAATGGTATTAGTTTAGAAACTGAGCCACTTGTCGATTTAGTAGGCGATTCGCTAAAATTAGTTTTCTCCAAAACTTCTAACGATATGCATCTTGATTTGGCTCTTACTGATATAAACTTAATTGATCATATTGAGAAGTCAGGAGTTCCAGAATTTGAAGCATTGATTTCATCCAATAAATTTGCTGAAATTGATAACCAGAAAGAAAAGAAAAAGGATTTGTTCAAATTAGACTATCTGAGAACTCAAAGAGTCGTTGAACATAACGGAAAAGAAATAGAAGTTTTTGACCAGGACATCATTGTTGATATTGCCACAGTTAAGTTTGTTGTCAGCCGTAAATCGATTTTGAGTCTTCTTAATTTTATTTTAAATACATTTACCGATCCAAATGAACCACCTAATGAGGCCGATGAAATAAAACATAATAACTCTGATGATGCTGATACATCTCCACAAAAGATTAATGTTGTTGTTAATTTGGAGAGTATTATTATGGTTTTGAATGAAGACGGATTAAAATTAGCTACTTTGCAATTAAGTACGGCTAGTATTAACGTCTTCTTACTACCAGAAGAATTAGAAGTCCAAGGTAGACTTGGGGCTTTAAGTTTGCACGATGAAGTTAATCAAGGTTCTGCGAGGGATTCAATTTTACGTCGTTTGATAAGCATCGAAGGCAACAACTTGGCCGAATTTACTTACAAGACCTTTGATAAAGAAACAAATTGTAATCCATATAACACTCTAATTGAATTCAAAACCGGTTCAGCAAGGATTAATTTTGTTGAGGAAGCATTTGGTAAAATATTCAATTACTTAAGTCAATTCCAAAGGATGAAAGCCATTTATGACCAAACTCGAGAGGCAGCGATTAATCAAGCAAGTCAAATCGAAGGAGCAAACAAAATAAGATTCAATTTCTTAGTTCAGGCTCCTATAATCGTTTTTCCAAAACTTGTCGATAGTCCTAAAAACAAGTATGATAACATGACTGTTCATCTAGGTGAATTATATGCCTCCAATGAGTTTCTTAAAGTCGAAAATGATTCGACAATTCAGAATGTGATCATAGCTGGTATTCGCAAAATTAGTCTCAAATCACAGTTTCATTTCGATGAAGGGGTTGAACAGCAATCAGAACTTGTAAATGACTTAGATATTAGTTTCAAAGTTGACTACTCTGAAGTATATGTTGAATCGAAGCCCACATTTGTCGTAACAGGAAAAATGCCAGAGATTGATGTACATTTGACAGAATTACAGTTGCAATATTTGACCGAGCTTTCTGAATCAGTCGGGAGGGCGCTCAATATTTCTGATGTTGGTGACCTGTTCGATGATATAGAAGCGGATGCTGTTAACGCTAATGCTGTTGCCAAATATGATAATCAAGGAAATAATTCAGAGGATACGACTCAAGGAACATCGGTTATTAAGGATGAGAAACAAGCACCTCCAAGTAAACATAAAAAATTAATTGCCAGTTTTGATGTACCTAGGTTATCATTAACCTTATATAACAGAACTTCCGGAATTTCAAATTATGAATCAACCAAAATTTCGTCCTTTTCTTTGAATGGCCTGTCTTTCACGTTGGATATGACTGAAGATTCTCACTTTGTATCTGATATGAATGTGAAGTCATTCGTTGTTATGGACGTTAGAGAGGGAACTAGTAATAAGTTCCCGGAAATCATTCCTCTGGTAAGTCATGATACTAATCAGTTTGTTCTCAAGGCATCAACAGATGGTAAGTCCAATAGTAAACATATCACCGTCATGTTAACAGTAGATAATCCTAAAACGATTCTAGCTCTTGATTATATTTTTGAATTACAATCCTTTATTAATAATGGTCTGGCAAGAGAAGGGCAGATAAGCCAGGAAGAGGATGAAGATGAAGATGAAGATGAAGATGAAGATGAAGAAGAGGATGGAGTAACTGATAGCCAAAGCGAAGATGAATCTGGTGCAAAAATGTTAAAATCAAGGGGAGAAGAAATAGAGGAGACAAGTAGTTCTCAATCTATTGGGTTTTCCATAAATATTACAGAACCATCTGTGATATTACTTGCCGACTCGACGAAGGAAAATACTGAAGCAATTGTATTCAAAGTAGAACAAATATTGATCACCAGTCAAAATGTAATGTCTCTTGCAGCAAATAATATTGGCATGTTTTTGTGTACTATGGATTCATTTGATGACAAGAGGTTAAGAATTATTGATGACTTTTCTATTTCGTTTGCTCATGACTCTAGAGGTTCAACCAAGACAAGTTTTCTTACTAATATAGAAGCATCAATTGAGCCTATGCTTATGAGACTATCATTGAGAGATATAAGACTTGCATTGAATATATTCAACAGAGCAACAGAATTATATAATGAGGCACATGGAAATACCATCACTAACCTCGATAATGAAGAATACAACTTTTCAGAAGAGTTTAAAAAGAGATTGTCACAGTATGCACCTTCAATATTATCAAATATGACGAAGAAAAGTGGACCAATAAATAAAGATAAAGGCGACTCTCAAGTGATTGTCAAAGGCGAAGAACTTAATGCCTCTATTGGAGGTTTGAGGTTTGTATTGATTGGAGATATTCATGAATTACCTGTACTTGACATGAACATAAAGCCGTTCGATATTAAAGCTATCAATTGGTCTACGGATCTTAGTGCCGAAACACATATTGAATCTTTTATTAATATTTATAATTACTCCAGATCGACGTGGGAACCTTTGATTGAACCATGGCCTATTTCGGTTTATGCATCTAAGAAAATATCACCGACTACAAGCATAATGATTGATGTCGTTTCTAGACAGTTGGCAGAAGCTAACATATCCTCTCGTTCTATTGCATTACTATCACAAGTTTTTTCATTAATAACGACCGAAGAGCAATTAAAGTCAAGAGGAGAAGATGATCCATATCGTATTGTTAATGAAACAGGCTATGATATAGAAGTATGGAATAATCAGAATGATGGAACTGTAAAAGACAAAACGTTGATAAAATTAAATGAGAAGGTTCCCTGGTCATTTGAAGATTGGCGGGATATTCGGGAGAATCTCGATTCTGACAGTAAACTGGGTGTCCTTGGAATAAGTCTTTTGGGATCACAGTATAATGATGTTACTGGAATATCTGCTGTTGGAGAAGGAGAGTTCCTTTTCGTTTTATATCCAGCAATTGAAGGAGTTCATAACAGGTTATCATGCCAAATAACTTTAGGAGAAGATAACGTAAAAACAATTTGGTTAAGATCTACCGTCAAAATTCAAAACGATGCAGATGTTCCAATAGCCATAAAAGTGTTTGGCATGTCGGATACTACAGAAGAAATAGTCGTCAAATCAAAAATGACAGGATCTTTGCCAATTGACTGTGTTTATACGGGCTCATTCAGGATAAGACCACACATTGATACAGAATATAACTGGTCAGAGCAGGAGTTACATTGGAGAGATCAGTTGAATGGTAGTACTCCACTATGTTGCTCTGCTGCGAACAGAAACGATAAATCTTCTTATTACTTTCATACAGAAGTTCAATCTGATCCTGAAGAACCACTTGCTAGAATTTATCCACACATGAAATTCATTATATCAGCACCAGTAGAAATTGAGAATTTGCTACCATTTGATCTTGATTATAGATTGTACGATAAAAATGCGAAGAAGGATTGGAATGGATGTATTCCTAAAGGTGTTAAAAGCTATGTACATGTGGTGAGTTTGGAAAGTCTTTTATTACTTAGTGTGGAACCAAAAGATTGTGGATTTGAAAAATCAGAGTTTGCAATCATCAATACCATTTCTAAAGGCGAATTTAAGCGTGAATCTACGATGACCTTGAGGCATAAAAATGGACAATTGTTGAAGCTCCGGATATATTATCCAAGAAAGAAATCGACGAGTACTAGTTTAAAAGTTGTCGTTTATTCGCCATATGTCATCCTTAACAGAACGAACCAGAATATCATTGTCAGTGAGAAAGGTAATATGATGCTATCCAATAGTAAATCTTTTAAACCCACAGTTCCTAGTATGTTTTCATTTGATAAACATGGAGACACAAGTAATAGAGCATTGCTTAAGGTAAATGACTCAAGCTGGACATCACCTTTGAGTTTTGATGCAATCGGACAAACTAGTGCTGCGAAAGTACAAGTCAATGGCAAGCAAACTGAAATGAATGTTGGCATATCAATTACAGAAGGCGAGGGAAAATATAAGTTATCTAAAGTCATTACTATTGCTCCAAGATATATATTTCGCAATTGTCTAGACGAATCACTAGAAATTGTGGAAAACGGATCTACTAAGCAAACTGTTGTTGCTCCAAATGAACTTATTCCGTTGTATGGTTTGCGTCGTATTGATCAAAAAAGTTTACTGATGAAGTTTTCTCATGCATCCAAAACTTGGTCTTCGCCATTCTCCCTCGACGATGTGGGCCAACTATTCATAAAAGTTTATAAAGAAAATGTTGGCCAAGTTTTGCTTAAAGTTAACATCCTATTGGAAAATGCTACGATTTTTATTCAAGTAGAAAATGCCAATAACAATTGGCCATATTCAATCCGTAATTTTAGTGATTCCGAATTTTACATTTGTCAAAATGACCCGAATATTAACGAAAATGGGGATGTTGTAAAGCATGATACACAATACAAGCCAATATTTTATAAAGTTCCACCGAAGAGTGTAATGCCTTATGCCTATGATTACCCGAATGCAATCATTAAAGAGTTGATAATTAGATCACACGGCCGTGAAAGAGCTGTCAATTTAGCTGAGATCGGAAACTTAAAGCCGTTTAGATTACCACCTACACAAGACTATGAACAGGCTATTGTTGATTTGAACGTTGTGGCAGATGGTCCTACTCAATCCTTAATTATCTCGAATTATGATCCTTCTGTTAGTTTATACAAATTGAAGAATCAATCACAGTCTAGTGCAAGTATTTCTCAACAAAACTTTGAAACTACTGAGAATGATGAGAATTACCATACTCGTATAATAACTAGATTTGAAGGGCTAGGCATTTCTTTGGTCAATACAAGAGCACAGGAATTATGTTACATTTCATTAAGAGGAATTGAATTGCGTTACAACGAATCAGACTTATACCAGAACTTCAGTATGAAATTGAAATGGATACAAATTGATAACCAACTATATGGCGGCTTCTTCCCAATTATTTTATATCCAAGTGTTGTACCAAAATCTGGAAAGGAAATGAATAACCACCCGTCATTTTCTGCTTCTATATGTAAAGTTAAAGACGATTCACATGGTGTCTTATTTATTAAGTATGCTACAATTCTCCTACAAGAAATGTCAGTTGAAATTGACGAAGATTTCCTTTTTGCATTGCTTGATTTTGCTCGTTTCCCAGGAGCTAGTTGGAATAAAGAACAACAGGATAAATTGTGTGAGGCTACTGTGGAATTACCTGAACCAGTGAGTTTGTCTAATAGCAGTGATATATATTTCGAGGCATTGCATTTACAACCTACTTTGACTCATTTATCTTTTGTTAGAACAGAAAGAGTTAATGCTGAAGATAGAACTACGTCACTGAATACATTGATGTTTTTCTTCAATGTTCTTACAATGGCAATTGGGAACATTAATGACGCTCCAATTAAATTGAATGCCTTATTTATTGAAAACATTAGAATTCCAATGCCTATTTTAGTAGAAGCAGTTCAGACTCACTACGGTCAATCTTTTTTTTACCAAGTTCATAAGATATTGGGATCGGCTGATTTCTTAGGAAATCCGGTTGGTTTATTTAATAATTTATCATCTGGTGTTCTAGATATATTCTATGAACCATATCAAGGATTTATCATTAACGACCGTCCACAGGAGCTAGGCATCGACATCGCTAAAGGTGGCTTGAGTTTCTTGAAGAAATCTATATTTGGTTTTTCAGATTCTTTTGCAAAAGTTACTGGATCATTAGCCAAAGGGTTATCAGTTGCAACGCTAGATAAAAATTTCCAAGAACGTCGTCGTCTTAGTCAACGTAGGAATAAGCCAAAACATGCTTTATATGGTTTTGCAACAGGTGCTAATTCATTTTTTGATTCTATATCCTCTGGTTTAACTGGTATTGCAACAGCACCAATTGAAGGTGCTAACAAGAATGGCGCATCGGGATTCTTCAGAGGACTAGGTAAAGGTGTTGTTGGATTACCCACCAAAACAGCTATTGGATTTTTTGACTTAGCATCCAATGTAAGTGAGGGTATCCGTAATACAACAACAGTCTTCGATGCTGAAGGCTTGGATAAAGTTAGGTTACCTCGTTATATTTCCCATGATCAAGTCATCAGACCCTACGAACAAAGAGAAGCGCAAGGACAGTTCTGGCTTATGTCTATTGATGGTGGAACCCTATATAACGAGAAATATTTGGCACATTTGCTTCTTCCAGGTGAAGAAAATGCAATAATTGTAACGTTCAAAAAGATAATCTTATTTCAAGTAAATGCATTGAGGTCTAAATGGATTATTCCTTTGGAGCAAGTGAAATCAATTTCAAATGAACCAACAGGCATCAGTATTACCTTGAAGAAAAAGGAAGGTCCGTTTATTCCAATTCCTGAAAGAGCCAATCGATCATTCTTATATAATCGCATTGGTGTAGCTGTTGGAGAATTCAACAAGCATTGCCAAGTAGTTTTATGAAACAATAGATAGTAGATATATCATAAAAGTTTATTCATATTAGTATACATACATTATTTACATTTGCGTTTGCGATTGAGATACAAACTTACGACTAGTATTCCCCGATCTTTTCGTTAAATAATTCATAAAAGTTTTCGGGTCCTCTTCAGCACAGTATTGAAATTTTAATTTCCCGACAGATATAGCACCATCTATAGTTTTAACAATCAATTCATTCTTATTTTCATTTAGCACAAATTCCCCTGGCTGCAATAAATCTTCAGGATAATGGTTGGTCAATTCAATATCATTGAATATAACTTTTTGAGTTTCTTTAATTTCTTTCTTCTTCTTACGGATATCACAATATTTGTATGAGTGTAATTGTCCCAATGCGTCATTCAATCGTTTAATTTTTCTTGAGGTTAATAAATCCCATCGTATTTCACTTTGGACAGGCTTTATTTTTGATGCAAGGGAAAACGTATAACGGTTATTCTTCGTCTTTCTCGGTTGTTCAAAAAGTCGATTATCAACCACATTTATTAGTAGATTACTTCCATATTCTCCTAATTTCTTTTTTAAGCTGTCATAATTATCTGTTTCTGCAATTGGTATAGGATCAGACTGGAGTATAATGTCGCCTTTATCAAACTTACTTGGATGTAATGTTTGTATCGTCACCCCCGTAAAGCTATCATCATTCATCAATGCATACTGCAATGGCGACGACCCCGAATATTTAGGTAATAGCGACGGATGCACGTTCAACCCACCATAATCCATACTATTCAAAAACCCTTCTGGAATTAATTTACCATATGACACGGCTATAGCTAGATTAAATTGACGTTTGGACAAAATGTTCATGATATCATGAGATGAATCTGCCCTATGAATACTTAGCTTTTCCCCTTCACAATATACACCAATAGGTACATCAACAAAGGTTTTTAAATTTCGACCAGTAGGTTTGATACTTCTTGTAATGACATCTATAGATGACACCTTTCCTGGGTTCTTCCTGTGATATTCTACTAATTTTTTTAAAGACTGAACACTGAATTTATCGCTACCAAAATATGCTATACTCAACCCCTTTTTCCCAGTACATACATTTCTTACGTTAGGTATCCTCCCCATCACCTTCAACGCAGCAACATTGAACATTATCGTTTATAACAAGGCTTGTTCCACGTCTAGCGTAGTGATAAAAGATCGCGTGAGAAAAATCCCCCATATTGGAAATTCTGCCGAATAAATTGTACCTGATTTTTGTTGACGTATTCTTAAATCATAAACTTCAAGAACATTTGATGATTATAGCTGGGATTGTTCTATAATGATATCACTCGCTGTTAGGAAAGTATTTGTCTTATTGTCATGTACATTTCTAGGATTAATATGTGGTACGCTATATTTATATTCGTCCTATAGTCCGCAATTTGCAAAAAGGTTAAACTATACAGTTACCGATTCTTCGTCAATAGCCTTATCAGGCACCATAGGTATAGCTGTTGCTGGACCGTTGGCGGGAGGAGTCGTGGATAAAAAAGGTTATACAGTGGCACTCATTATTGGAGGATTGTCCATTATTTCTGGTTACTTGGGTATGAAGAAGCAGTTCGATAATCAATACTCACACTTGCTCGTGTCTTCTTCATTTCTATTCTTAATAGGATGTGGGTCCACTTTTATAAATTCGGCATGTATGAAATGTTGTGCTGTCAGTTTCCCTAGTATTAGAGGTGTAGCCACGTCGCTTCCTTTGGCTCTATATGGGTTGAGTGCATTATTCTACTCGGTAATTGCTTCTGTTTTCTTTCCAGGAAAAACGTCCGAATTCTTAGGGTTTTTGGCTTACTCGTCGGTGGGAATATTTATGATATGTTCACCAAGTATTATGTTATGTGATAAGGAACATAAAAACCGAATAAAGAATAGACATATCAATACCGAATCGATTGAAATGGCTACTTTAGCACCAACACATAGTCCTGGACCTTCCTCACATCGAAAGATACCAAGTGCATTAAAGTTAGATGGCCCCCGCGATGTGAATTTGAGCGGAATTGGCTTGATAAAATCCTACAGATTCTGGTTGATTTTCATTACCACTGGTTCTTTGGCCTCTTTAGGTCAAATGTATATCTATTCAGTTGGATACATGGTGAAAGCATTAATTACAGAACAGGTTCTGAATTCTGATACTGTTGCAGCCATTTCCCAGCCTCAAGTCGAAGCCTTAATCCAAAAGAACCAGCAATTGCAAGTTGGCTTACTCTCAATTGCTAATTGTGTTGGGAGAATTGCATCGGGGATTATTGGTGATATTATTTCCCAGTCGTTTCATAAGCCAAGATCATGGCTTTTATTTTTACCAAGTTTGGGGTTAACGATAACCCAAACTATGGGATTGCAAATTAGTAATCTTTCGTCGTTATCTACGATGTCCTTATTGACTGGATTCTTCTATGGGTTTACATTCTGCATTATGCCTATTATTGTGGGTGATTCATTTGGGATGGATAACTTCTCGTCTAATTGGGGGGTTGTTGGATTGGCACCTATCTTGCCGAGCTATTACTTCACTAGCTTATTCGGTAAGGTCTATGACTCCAATTCGGTAATATTACAAAGTTCTGGAATCTCTAGCTGTCCATTAGGTAAGAATTGCTACAATTCTGTTTTTAAGTTGACTTTGGGCATTACAATTTTATCGTTGATAGCTGTGACTATGCTTAACTTTCGTAATACTTCATTAAGCAAAAGAAAACATTAGATTATAACGATCGAGAAAAGAAGCAGTTACAGATTATAATAGATACTCTCATACAGACGTCTACAATTATAGTAACTATATGTTTATATGTTGTATAATAGATTTTTGACTAAAGGGCGATTCTTATCTTTTATCTCATCGTTTTTGTGAGCAGTAGTTTCATCTGTACTATTAATTCGTTTTTTTTTTAATGTTAACCTCAATTGGACAAAGTATATATGGAATCTAAGGAACATAAGAAAGAAGGCAACAAGGAGGTTCCAAAATATAGGGTCAAGGGCCGCTTTAACAACAGGAATAATAAAAATACTGAGATTCATCCTCAAGATAAACGAGAACGAACAAAACCAGAACACGAAGCAAAGGGAAGACACAAGAACACTGAACAGACTAATAAATATGAGTTAGGAGATGAAGAGAAATTAAAGCTTAGGAGAAACAGATTTAGCAGTGATAATAAAAACCTCAATTCAACAAAGCATCAGTATGGGTATGTGAGCAGAGGTGAAGACAATCGATTACAAAAAAGTCATAAGGAAAGATTAAACTTCTTCAACCATATTGTTTCCTCATTTATACGTTACAGCAATGAACATTCAGCGTCAGATTTGGGTAGAGATTTTGATAGGTTTATCAACAGGAATGAAATACCACCAGAGTCCGATGATCCTGGAATAATGGAAATCCCTACAATCGATTCAATATTAAACAACTTAAGAAAGCTAAGAGAGGCATTATTGCATGAAAGGGCCACTGAGTTTACCAAGAAAGTATTCTTGTTTTCCATTAGAGTAGCCGTTAACATGGGACATTACCAAACATATATCCCCAGTATTACCTATTTGCTTCATTCACACAATTCTCTGCTACTAGAAGACATGGAAAAACAAGAGATTGCAACAATACTAGTACTACATACTGCACATTTTAATGGTGAAAACTCCAAAGCCTTACAACTCTACTTTAAATACGTTGACACATCCGAGATTAAAACCTTGAAAATATTGAAGAGTTGGATCAACAATGATTACTACAATTGGATACAGTATTATAATTCAGAAACCGATAACGGAAAAGCATTCGTCATGAAATTTGGTTTACCTCATATGTCCCGTCATATGGTAAATTCAATCAGTAAGTCATATTTCAGTTTCAAATTGCAGGATTTTGAGGATACTTATTTGCCCAATGGATCTTCTTACACACAATTGAGCAATAAGTGCAAAACCAATTGGAAACTTGAAAATGATACAATAGTAGTTAGAGAACGTAATGTTCGGTAAAAATTTAGAATGGAGCTGCTTTGTGCGATTTTTATTGATGCATTAATGGACAAACGGAAATAATCTATATATACTTATTCTACGGCAAACTAATAACATATACTTTATCACGGATAGTATGAGCTCTACAAGCGAATCCAAGCTACCAGATATAATAAAGATTGACGATATATCGTCCGGGAGGATAGATCCTAACTTAATATACCAAGAATTAGAAAGACTAAAGGTTGAAATAAATATTCTACGAAACGACATGTCTTTATTCTTGAAGGCTTTAGCCACAATCCCAGACAACCAAAGTCAACAAGAATATTATAAGATTATAGTTCTGCGCTTAAGAACGGTACAAAATAGCATAAAAGAATATTGTGTGGAATATAATAAACTTTTACCAATTATCAATTTATCCCAAATTAAATTAGGACATGAAGTAGAAATTTTACCACAGAATGGTAAGACAAATGCATCGAACCAAAAGACATCAGATATAAAACAAGAGCCAAAGAAAACCAATACGTCGAACAAAGCATCTGCCCTGGCGACTACTGATACGCAAAACACTAAAAATGGTCTGAATTCTAATCAACCAATTGTACTTTAAATTCGGTTAAAATTTCACATAGCATAATCTTCACTTCTTTGTATAATAATCTAACGTTGCTCAATATATCTACGTTGTAAATGTAACATAATATATAGCTCAGTAATCTTTTAGTTCAGGGTAATTTAGTGTTACCCTGAACTGACTCATGAAAAATTGAGCTATCAAGATTTCAATATCATAAAAATATATATAGAGCTAAATAGAAGCAATATTAATTTTCATTATTTTAAAGAACAGAAATAATATTACTTTAAGATGTCTGTTTTATTAAAAGAAACATTTGCTAGATGCAAGAAAGAAGGTCGTAATGCGTTGGTCAACTTCATTACTGCTGGTTATCCAACCATTGAAGATACTTTACCAATCTTAAAAGGTATGCAGAAGGCGGGTGTCGATATTATCGAATTAGGAGTTCCGTTTTCCGATCCTATTGCTGATGGTCCAACTATTCAAGCAGCTAATGTCGTTGCTTTAGATAATGGAATTACTGTTACCAAATGTTTAGATTTGGTAGCTCAAGCAAGAGCAGAAGGTGTCACTGTGCCAATTTTATTGATGGGTTACTACAATCCAATTTTAAAGTATGGTGAACAAAGGATGATCGAAGATTCTGCCAAAGCTGGTGCAAATGGTTACATTGTTGTTGATTTGCCACCTGAAGAAGCAGTTAAATTCAGATCATTATGTACTACTAATGGCTTATCATATGTTCCATTGGTTGCTCCAGCGACTACTGATGAACGTTTGAAGCTTCTTGGTGAAATAGCTGATTCATTCATTTACGTGGTTTCCAGAATGGGTACCACTGGTGCTACTGTCAGTGTAACAAATGATATTTCTGAATTATGTAACAGAGTCAGAAAATTTGCTGGAGAGACGCCTATAGCTGTTGGTTTCGGTGTTTCAACTAGAGAACACTTCTTGACCGTCGGTGAAGCAGCTGATGGTGTTGTCATCGGATCAAAAATTGTCACTTTAATTGGGGAATCAAAACCTGGTGAAAGAGGCGACACTGCCTATAAATATGTTAGATCCATTTTGGGTAATGACTACCAAACAAATGCTCCGGAGCTGTTTACGGCTAGTGAAAGAAGTGAAGCTAAGTCCACTAATCCTTCATTCGAAGAAAAACACAAGTATAATCCAAGATTTGGTGACTTCGGAGGTCAGTATGTTCCTGAGGCATTGCATACTTGTTTAGCTGAATTAGAAAGAGGATTTGAGGATGCTGTTGCAGACCCTAAGTTTTGGGAAGAGTTTAAATCTTTATACTCTTACATTGGCAGACCATCATCTTTACATAAAGCCGATAGGTTGACCGAATACGCAGGCGGTGCTCAAATTTGGTTGAAGAGAGAAGATTTAAATCATACTGGTTCCCATAAGATTAATAATGCTTTAGCTCAAGTTTTAATTGCCAGAAGATTAGGTAAGAAGAAAATCATTGCAGAAACCGGTGCTGGGCAACATGGTGTTGCAACTGCCACTGCAGCTGCTAAGT